TGACAGTTTATCTGGTATTTTAGGCAATATCCATTATAAGCAAATGGTTGAAATCCAATGAAGTTAAAATATTTTTCTTTTAATTTAACCACAGACATATGGAGTAATTTAGCAGAATAGAGAGTAATGTCGCTTAAATGTTAAAATCTGTGACCTAACACTGTTTGAGCAGCAAATGTCTAGCAGTATTATAGTCTGGCCTGTACTTAGTGTTCCATCACTGTGTTGCAAGTTCCTTCTAATGTGAATGCAACATGCATGGACTTAAACCAGTTTTGTATTGCTTAATATTACTCTGCCATCATAACAAACACTGAATGCAAGCACATCATTTATGGTTATTATTTTTTACATTAATCATTTTTGTAAGTGAAAACTAATTATCTGTATTTCTTTAAAATTGTAAGTTTCAACAGAATTATTTTTGTTTATTGAGGTCATGCTGGTTCTTAATGAAGACTATTCCAACTCTCTGAATATGGTCAATTAAACTCAAAATTTTAATAACTGCTGTTACAAAAGTTATTTATACCTATCATAGCCTACACACACACATCTAGCACATAAGTCTTTCTACACCATTATCACATCACAGAAATACTGAGACTGGAATAATGCATGGAAAATAGGATTCTTTCTTGAATCTGGTTACCATAATGAACTTTTGAAGATATTACCAAATCTATTATAAATATCACCTTCTAGTAATACCCCAAAATTCACAGTTGCAAACCAGACAATGCCATCTTTATTTGCTTTGTACATATTTTACAAAACTAATCACAAGATTTTCTAAACCTTCTCCTTGATTTTTTAGTCTTCTCATTTTCCCCTTTTTTTGGGTTTTTTTTGTGAAGCGTGTTTTTTAGTAGTGTCCCCTTCCCCAACTTACCTTTCTCCGTCTCAAATTTTTTCGATCTTTTATCATACTGGTCCCCTTATATGCTCACTTCTCTGCAAACAAAAGAAAAATAATTTAGTTCTTGTTGCCTTGTAGCATGTTTACAGAAAGTTCAGGTTTCTGTAAATAAGAACAATAATTTACTTCTTGTTGCCTTGTTGCATATCACAAAAATAAAAAAAAAACTGATACACAAATGACCATGGAGGAACATTACTAAGATTTTTTTGACATTCATTTAAAAATGAGAGTTATGGGCTAATAAAATATATTGTAAGATTAAGGACTGTGAGTAACTTCATTAACTCTCTACCACAACACAGTTTAAACAAGTGTTCTTCTTCCAAATTTCCCAGATACCTTTTGTTTTTGCAGAAGGGGAAGGTAGGGAAGAAATATTTAAAACGTTAGTGCAAACTATACTAAAATTTGCTAACATTAAGTTGGAGGTATTTTCCCAGGTGACCATCAAACTCTGTTCATTCTTTCGATATTTCCATAATGTTTATGTTACTCTCCCTGTTTATCCTTGTCTGTTGAAAATTTTTATTAATGAAACATTTGATCAGTAGCAGACTGGTCATAAGAGAAACCATACAACAGCGGCAATGGATGAGCGGGGGAACGTGCCAGAAACAATAATAAAACTCTATGTAAATGATTTATGTATGTATGTTATTTTTTATTATTTTTTTTATTATCACACTGCCGATTCCCACCAAGGCAGGTGGCCCGAAAAAGAAAAACTTTCCCCAAATCATTCACTCCATCACTGTCTTGCCAAAGGGTGCTTTACACTACAGTTTTTAAACTGCAACATTAACACCCTTCCTTCAGAGTGCAGGCACTGTACTTCCCACTCCAGACTCAAGTCCGGCCTGCCGGTTTCCCTGAACCCCTTCATAAATCTACTTTGCTCACACTCCAACAGCACGTCAAGTATTAAAAACCATTTGTCTCCATTCACTCCTATCAAACACGCTCACGCATGCCTGCTGGAAGTCCAAGCCCCTCGCACACAAAACCTCCTTTACCCCCTCCCTCCAACCTTTCCTAGGCTGACCCCTACCCCGCCTTCCTTCCACTACAACTGATACACTCTTGAAGTCATTCTTTTTTCGCTCCATTCTCCTACATGTCCGAACCACCTCAAAAACCCCTTTCCTCAGCCCCCCTGACAACATTTTGGTAATCCCGCACCTCCTCCTAATTTCCAAACTACGAATTCCCCTGCATTATATTCACACCACACATTGCTCTCAGACATGACATCTCCACTGCCTCCAGCCTTCTCCTCGCTGCAACATTCATCACCCATGCTTTACACCCATTTAAGAGCGTTTTGGGAAAAGTATACTCCATACAATTTCCCCCCCTTTGCCTCCATGGACAAAGTTCTTGTTCCTCCACAGACTCCTAAGTGCACCACTCACCCTTTTCCCCTCATCAATTCTATGATTCACCTCATCTTTCATAGACCCATCCGCTGACACGTCCACTCCCAAATATCTGAATACATTCACCTCCTCCATACTCTCTCCCTCCAATCTGATATCCAATCTTTCATCACCTAATCTTTTTGTTATCCTCATAACCTTACTCTTTCCTGTATTCACTTTCAATTTTCTTCTATTGCACACCCTACCAAATTCATCCACCAATCTCTGCAACTTCTCTTCAGAATCTCCCAAGAGCACAGTGTCATCAGCAAAGAGCAACTGTGACAACTCCCACTTTATGCGTGATTGTTTATCTTTTAACTCCACACCTCTTGCCAAGACCCTCGCATTTACTTCTCTTACAACCCCATCTATAAATATATTAAACAACCACGGTGACATCACACATCCTTGTCTAAGGCCTACTTTTACTGGGAAATAATTTCCCTCTTTCCTACATACTCTAACTTGAGCCTCACTATCCTCGTAAAAACTCTTCACTGCTTTCAGTAACCTACCTCCTACACCATACACTTGCAACATCTGCCACATTGCCCCCCTATCCACCCTGTCATACGCCTTTTCCAAATCCATAAATGCCACAAAGACCTCTTTAGCCTTATCTAAATACTGTTCACTTATATGTTTCACTGTAAACACCTGGTCCACACACCCCCTACCTTTCCTAAAGCCTCCTTGTTTCATCTGCTATCCTATTCTCCGTCTTACTCTTAATTCTTTCAATAATAACTCTACCATACACTTTGCCAGGTATACTCAACAGACTTATCCCCCTATAATTTTTGCACTTTCTTTTATCCCCTTTGCCTTTATACAAAGGAACTATGCATGCTCTCTGCCAATCCCTAGGTACCTTACCCTCTTCCATACATTTATTAAATAATTGCACCAACCACTCCAAAACTATATCCCCACCTGCTTTTAACATTTCTATCTTTATCCCATCAATCCCGGCTGCCTTACCCCCTTTCATTTTACCTACTGCCTCACGAACTTCCCCCACACTCACAACTGGCTCTTCCTCACTCCTACTTGCCCTATACACGAAATCACAGCTTCCCTATCTTCATCAACATTTAACAATTCCTCAAAATATTCCCTCCATCTTCCCAATACCTCTAACTCTCCATTTAATAACTCTCGTCTCCTATTTTTAACTGACAAATCCATTTGTTCTCTAGGCTTTCTTAACTTGTTAATCTTACTCCAAAACTTTTTCTTATTTTCCACAAAATTTGTTGATAACATCTCACCCACTCTCTCTTTTGCTCTCTTTTTACATTGCTTCACCACTCTCTTAACCTCTCTCTTTTTCTCCATATACTCTTCCCTCCTTGCATCACTTCTACTTTGTAAAAACTTCTCATATGCTAACTTTTTCTCCCTTACTACTCTCTTCACATCATCATTCCACCAATCGCTCCTCTTCCCTCCCGCACCCACTTTCCTGTAACCACAAACTTCTGCTGAACACTCTAACACTACATTTTTAAACCTACCCCATACCTCTTCGACCCCATTGCCTATGCTCTCATTAGCCCATCTATCCTCCAATAGCTGTTTATATATCTTACCCTAACTGCCTCCTCTTTTAGTTTATAAACCTTCACCTCTCTCTTCCCTGATGCTTCTATTCTCCTTGTATCCCATCTACCTTTTACTCTCACTGCAGCTACAACTAAAAAGTGATTTGATATATCTGTGGCCCCTCTATAAACATGTACATCCTGAAGTCTACTCAACAGTCTTTTATCTACCAATACATAATCCAACAAACTACTGTCATTTCGCCCAACATCATATCTTGTATACTTATTTATCCTCTTTTTCTTAAAATATGTATTACCTATAACTAAACCCCTTTCTATACAAAGTTCAATCAAAGGGCTCCCATTATCATTTACACCTGGCACCCCAAACTTACCTACCACACCCTCTCTAAAAGTTTCTCCTACTTTAGCATTCAGGTCCCCTACCACAATTACTCTCTCACTCGGTTCAAAAGTTCCTATACATTCACTTAACATCATGGGGGAAGAATTGAGGGTAGAGATTTGATACTTCAGATTTGGTCACTTAATCATAGCAAGAGGTGTGTACTGTAGGTCTTGTGAATTCTTCTAATATATATAGCAACCATGCAAATGTTTAATCTTTACACAATTAAAAATAAATGAAAAGTCTTAAACTTTGTTGAGAAGGAAGAGACGACGTGAGAGTGAGTGGATGCTGGTGACTGTGAGGACCCACTGGCCAGCCTCACCGTGTCTCCTCAGGAATAATCATAGCCAGTGTGAATACCAGTCTCAGGTAAAGAGAGCCGTCTGAAGTGTTTAAAACTTTGCCAAAAGAGCGTAGGTCTCTATGAGTACCAGTCTGTATAGTCCTTGTGGCTTAGCGCTTCTTTTTGATTATAATAATAATAATATGAGTACCAGTCACAAGTATGTAGGACTCGGTCAGCAGTGTGAAGTTCTCTATAATAAGTTTGTAGTTTTCTGTGAATGCTGCTGTATTTCCTACATTACTACAACTGTTTATTACTTATATCTGAGTCAATCTCCTTTAGTTTGCAACATCATGTTCGCCTACTCATGATGCTGAAGTAGAGTACATTTTGCTATTGCATCAACGATGAAAACAGGCATACGATACATACTTACATCCATTTTAACTCTCCTGGGTTAGTAAATAATGAGTGCGGACACTCATAGTGGAAATCAGTACAGTCTCCTGAAGTCTTTCCAATTTCCTCAGCCATTGTGTAGTCACGGAGCCGCTTGTCAGAGTGAGGAGATCGAGCAGCACTGTGGAAACATAAGTTGTTGAATTATTCATGATGTGTCTAACCTATATATTACATCATGTTTACCGTATATAAAGTAAACATGGTTTCTGAGGTAGTTTGCCATCTTCCTCAGCATATATGTAGTAATAAAAATAATTATTTAATGTTAAAAATTCTAAAGCTTTTCTGAGCGACGTGACCTAACATGAACTAACATAAATGTGTCCAATCTTCAGCCTACCACAAAGAATTGCAAAACTAACAGTGAAGAAAAACTTAGTACTTTTTTTTATCTATTCTCACCTGAAAAACAGCTCCAAAACCTCGCCAAAGAAACCATGGTTGATTAAAGGAACTTGAAATATTTCACAGATGGCTCGCAGTAGGCAAGCCTTGCCGTTCATGCCCAGGTTGTCCAGGGTATCTTCCACCACCTGGTACATCATCTCCCTGTGGGTATACATCAACTACTATAACAACTCAATTTATATACAATATGCATAAACAGAAGAATGGCCAGGTCTGACAATTCATTACAGCTTGAATTTATAATGTGGCTGAAGGGCTCTTGAGCTGAGCAACTGCACTCAACTTGACTGTCTCACATTCCCCCAGGTGTTCTATGACCCTTGCAGGTTTACTGCTTCCCCCATGAATATAATAAAATTTACATTTGTAAATAGTGCATCTCTCTCTCATGGATTACCTGGAGTTTACCTGGAGAGAGTTCCGGGGGTCAACGCCCCCGCGGCCCGGTCTGTGACCAGGCCTCCTGGTGGATCAGAGCCTGATCAACCAGGCTGTTGCTGCTGGCTGCACGCAAACCAACGTACGAGCCACAGCCCGGCTGATCAGGAACCGACTTTAGGTGCTTGTCCAGTGCCAGCTTGAAGACTGCCAGGGGTCTGTTGGTAATCCCCCTTATGTATGCTGGGAGGCAGTTGAACAGTCTCGGGCCCCTGACACTTATTGTATGGTCTCTTAACGTGCTAGTGACACCCCTGCTTTTCATTGGGGGGATGGTGCATCGTCTGCCAAGTCTTTTGCTTTCATAGTGATTTTTGTGTGCAAGTTTGGTACTAGTCCCTCTAGGATTTTCCAGGTGTATATAATCATGTATCTCTCCCGCCTGCGTTCCAGGGAATACAGGTTTAGGAACCTCAAGCGCTCCCAGTAATTGAGGTGTTTTATCTCCATTATGCGCACCGTGAAGGTTCTCTGTGCATTTTCTAGGTCAGCAATTTCACCTGCCTTGAAAGGTGCTGTTAGTGTGCAGCAATATTCCACCCTAGATAGAACAAGTGACCTGAAGAGTGTCATGGGCTTGGCCTCCCTAGTTTTGAAGGTTCTCATTATCCATCCTGTCATTTTTCTAGCAGACGCGATTGATACAATGTTATGGTCCTTGAAGGTGAGATCCTCCGACATGATCATTCCCAGGTCTTTGACGTTGGTGTTTCGCTCTATTTTGTGGCCAGAATTTGTTTTGTACTCTGATGAAGATTTAATTTCCTCGTGTTTACCATATCTGAGTAATTGAAATTTCTCATCGTTGAACTTCATATTGTTTTCTGCAGCCCACTGAAAGATTTGGTTGATGTCCGCCTGGAGCTTTGCAGTGTCTGCAATGGAAGACACTGTCATGCAGATTCGGGTGTCATCTGCAAAGGAAGACACGGTGCTGTGGCTGACATCCTTGTCTATGTCGGATATGAGGATGAGGAACAAGATGGGAGCGAGTACTGTGCCTTGTGGAACAGAGCTTTTCACTGTAGCTGCCTCGGACTTTACTCTGTTGACGACTACTCTCTGTGTTCTGTTAGTGAGGAAATTATAGATCCATCGACCGACTTTTCCTGTTATTCCTTTAGCACGCATTTTGTGTGCTATTACGCCATGGTCACACTTGTCGAAGGCTTTTGCAAAGTCTGTATAGTATATTACATCTGCATTCTTTTTGTCTTCTAGTGCATTTAGGACCTTGTCGTAGTGATCCAATAGTTGAGACAGACAGGAGCGACCTGTTCTAAACCCATGTTGCCCTGGGTTGTGTAACTGATGGGTTTCTAGATGGGTGGTGATCTTGCTTCTTAGGACCCTTTCAAAGATTTTTATGATATGGGATGTTAGTGCTATTGGTCTGTAGTTCTTTGCTGTTGCTTTACTGCCCCCTTTGTGGAGTGGGGCTATGTCTGTTGTTTTTAGTAACTGTGGGACGACCCCCGTGTCCATGCTCCCTCTCCATAGGATGGATAAGGCTCGTGATAGGGGCTTCTTGCAGTTCTTGATGAACACGGAGTTCCATGAGTCTGGCCCTGGGGCAGAGTGCATGGGCATGTCATTTATCGCCTGTTCGAAGTCATTTGGCATCAGGATAACATCGGATAGGCTTGTGTTAATCAAATTTTGTGGCTCTCTCATAAAAAATTCATTTTGATCTTCGACTCTCAGTCTGGTTAGCGGCTTGCTAAAAACTGAGTCATATTGGGACTTGAGTAGCTCACTCATTTCCTTGCTGCCATCTGTGTAGGACCCATCTTGTTTAAGTAGGGGCCCAATACTGGACGTTGTTCTCGACTTTGATTTGGCATAGGAGAAGAAATACTTTGGGTTTCTTTCGATTTCATTTATGGCTTTTAGTTCTTCCCGCGATTCCTGACTCCTATAAGATTCCTTTAGCTTAAGTTCGATGCTTGCTATTTCTCTGACCAGTGTCTCCCTACGCATTTCAGATATATTGACCTCTTTTAGCCGCTCTGTTATTCTTTTCCGTCGCCTGTAAAGGGAGCGCCTGTCTCTTTCTATTTTACATCTACTCCTCCTTGATGACTTGATGACTTGGTCTGGTGTGATCTTTTTGACCAGGTCTTGTTTGGTCTTAATGACCAGGTCTGATACAGTCTAGGTAAACAGGCCTAGTACAGTCTTGGTGACCACGTCTGGTACAGTTTTGGTGACCAGGCCTGGTACAGTCTTGGTGACCATGTCTGGTAGTCTTGGTGGCCAGGTCTGGTACAGTCTTGGTGACTAGATCTGGTGGCCTGGTGGCTAAAGCTCCCGCTTCACACACGGAGGGCCCGGGTTCGATTCCCGGCGGGTGGAAACATTTCGACACGTTTCCTTACACCTGTGGTCCTGTTCACCTAGCAGCAAATAGGTACCTGGGTGTTAGTCGACTGGTGTGGGTCGCATCCTGGGGGACAAGATTAAGGACCCCAATGGAAATAAGTTAGACAGTCCTCGATGACGCACTGACTTTCTTGGGTTATCCTGGGTGGCTAACCCTCCGGGGTTAAAAATCCGAACAAAATCTTATCTTATCTTATCTTACAGTCCTGGTGATCAGGTCTGGTACAGTCTTGGTGATGAGGTCTGGTACAGTCTTGGTAACCAGGTCTAGAACAGTCTTAGTGACCAGGTCTGGTATAGTCTTGGTGACCAGGTCTGGTACAGTCTTGGTGACTAGATCTGGTACAGTCCTGGTGATCAGGTCTGATACAGTCTTGGTGACGAGGTCTGGTACACTCTTGGTAACCAGGTCTAGAACAGTCTTAGTGACCAGGTTTGGTATAGTCTTGGTGACCAGGTCTGGTACAATCTTGGTGACCAGGTCTGGTACAGTTTTGGTGACTAGATCTGGTACAGTCCTGGTGACCAGGTCTGGTACAGTCTTGGTGACCAGGTCTGGTACAGTCTTGGTGACTAGATCTGGTACAGTCCTGGTGACCAGGTCTGGTACAGTCTTGGTGACCAGGTCTAGAACAGTCTTGGTGACTAGATCTGGTACAGTCCTGGTGACCAGGTCTGGTACAATCTTGGTGACCAGGTCTAGAACAGTCTTAGTGACTAGATCTGGTACTGTCTTGGTGACCAGGTCTGGTACAGTCTTGGTGACTAGATCTGGTACAGTCCTGGTGACCAGGTCTGGTACAGTCTTGGTGACCAGGTCTGGTACAGTCTTGGTGACTAGATCTGGTACAGTCTTGGTAATTAGATCTGGTAGTCTTGGTGACTAGATCTGGTACAGTCTTGGTGACTAGATCTCTTACAGTCTTGGTGACTAGATCTGGTACAGTCTTGGTGACCAGGTCTGATACAGTCTTGGTGACCAGGTCTAGAACAGTCTTGCTGACCAGGTCTGGTACAGTCTTGGTGACCAGGTCTGGTACAGTCAATTCAAATTCAAATTCAAAGTTTATTCTCTATAAGGATTACAATGCTGAGTTTACAGAATTTGGTTATTGTGTGGTTTACATGTAGCAAAATAATGATTACAGAGTGTACCACTAGAACACCTAGCATGGCTAGGCATTTCGGGCAGACTTAGTTTAATTCTTAATTTTAAAATATTACAAATTATGAGGTAAATTGGTATTATGGCTAAGTGACTAAATACTAGTTTGAGAGTTTAGCAATGTGAATGCTTTTGTTTTGGCACAGTACATAGTTTCAGTATTGGAGTATCACAGGATTCATTATTTTAAGATTGAGATTAATATTTCTGTTTATGGTCAAATGGGTGAGTGAAAGTGTGGACCACCAGGTGGTATTCGTGTAGTTAGTTGACGGGGTGTATCAGGGAGATAAGATGTTTTCTAATTGGTGGCCAGGTCTGGTACAGTCTTGGTGACCAGGTCTAGAACAGTCTTGGTGACCAGGTCTGGTCCAGTCTTGGTGACCAGGTCTGGTACAGTCTTGGTGACCAGGTCTGGTACAGTCTTGGTGACCAGGTCTGGGGTTGTTTTTCAAGACTTTATTATCTTTCTTCTTACTTTGTACATTATGCTGTTACTAAGCATTGAAGAACTTTCATTACATTTAATTTTTAAAACATGTATTATACAAGAAACTGCATTAGTTGCATGACTGTACAAGCAAAATTACTGCAAGAAGATGCCTGCACGCTGCTACGTGCTCCCGGGAACAGCACTGCCAAGAGTCGCACTACTTTTGTCATGCAAGAGACATTATGTAGATGAATGGTTTAGAGAACCAACAAGATTGATGGACTGACAACATCGACTCAAGGCTGAGGGACTGATTACCTCAAACTCCTCCTGTTCTTCACCATTCTCCTTTGTAAGGACTGATGAAGCCAATGAGTGGCGAAACGTTTCCTCGTTAAATATACCCAAGTGTTGCACATGTGTCTAATTTATCATGCTACATATTAGTTGAAAAGTAAGAAATCTGTTTATATGATGATAAGAGAGAGAGATTATTGTAATATATTCATATCAATAATTAATGAGGTTGAGTATAAACTCGTGCTGATTGTAATCTTAAAACAAAATACGTACAATAAATTTAGGGTAGGTGAGGAAAAATGATCATGTGAAATTCTGTAGTTCATTGGTCAGCGTTTGGTTCAGAACCCACAGATCCTGGGTTTGATCCTCAGGCAGGGCGAAATATATGGGTGTCTAAAGTTAACTGCCAATGTTCACCAAGTAATAAATACAATAGTTGTCTAGATGTTAGTCGACTGTTGTGGATGACATCCAGGCTGGGTGAACCATAGCTAAGGAGGGAGGATGGTACATCACAGTGAGAACCAAGCTCTGAAATATAAGCTGAGCTACAATAACAGATCATAATCTATAAAATATAAAACGTGTAATCAAAATAAAATCTAAGTTTTCCTTGAATTCTTAGCTTGCATTTTTTGTTCCAACACGCTTTAGATATTATAACCTAGCAATCTACAGGAGTCTTTATTTAAGAAGAAACTGCATAAAACAAGAGATTTTTTAAGCAGTTATGTACACTACTGTACTTATATCTAACTTGAGCACAATATTTAAATATGATTTTCAATTATGGCAAAAAATGCATATGGTGGACCTCTTAGTAGAAGTGAGTGGAGTAGACGCTTGTTATGAAGCTCTTACCTGTCGCCTCCGGCCCAGTTGATGCCAGGAAGAGTAGTAAATGCTTCACGTTTCTTCCTAAACAGTCCGAAGGATGGAAAAAATCCAAAAGGATTCTCCTCAGAGGTCAAACCGAGGTCATCAAATGCAACTGTGAGAGAAACGTCATGTCAGAGTTGTGTTGGGTGTCACCTTCAGCTGACCAGCCACAGTCAGTAATGGTAAATGAAAAGAAATGTTTTGTCAGAACCCCAAGAGGATATTTAAGTTGACACAAGGTAATGGTCACTTACCAATATATAAAACCCTGATGGGCTCATACAGTGTTCACTGATAATATACTCAGATGAATGTCTAAGCGATTGTGTAAGATAAGTGAGAGGTCAGTTCATTGTCTTTCTCCACCTGTCTGTGTTGGGTCAAAGTCAGTCAGTGAATGATATATGTACAACACTTGGGTGTCTTTAATGAGAACCTAGGTGTTGTATATGTGTCGGTACTGTGTGTTTTTGATCTACTGAAAAGAGTCAGTCTGATCACATGAGAAGAAATAAAGAACTGGCCTAAAACAAGTTATATACCAGATACTCTCTCACACTGAGTTACACAGCTCATCATCAATAATTAGTTTATTATATAAACTGTTTATTGCAACTGCACAATATACTTTTTGAGTTAAAGTCATATGAACAAATGCTCACATTAGTGTAATACATTTTATAGTGTAGTGTTTTTTGAAGAATCATGATTAATTTGAGCAACTAAAAACATATAAAATTAAATAATTTGTTGAATCTGGAATATTGTACTCAGAATATCTGTCACTGAATCACATTTTTTAATAAACAAAAATAATAATCAAATAATAATAATAATATTATTATTATTATTAGTAGTATCATTAATACAGTAATATAATAATACAATGCATGCATTATGATTAACTGATAATAAATTTATCAATCAATTTAATATATTTATACGCTTTAATATATTTATACGCTCCTCTATAAGATTATAAGTTAAGTTTATTAGCAAGTTCAAACAATAGCGTGAAATATTACACAAGTTTGACAAAGGTGATCGAATATAAAGTTATGTTGACTGCTTAACACTGCTGCTGTAAATGTGGTGGCAGAACAAGAAGATTTATTATTGTACATGTTAAAAAAGTCAATAAGGAGAGTCCAGAGGATGAATAAGATAGTTTCCCAAGATCTGCGCAGTGAACACCAGGGGCAATATTACAGGCAATTCTAAATATCCCAGAGTTACTGTTGAAATAAAATAAGACCATTCACTTCTCTGGTGACTGTTTTCAGTGACCACACACTTGTCAGGTCACCACAAGCTTGTGAGGTTACTAGATGCTTGTGTGGTGACTGTTAATAGTCACTTTTAAGTTAGTAAAGCACTTAAAATATTGCTTAATAATCACTGACTGATCCATCATAGGAGGGTGAGAGGTAGGGGGGGGGGTAAGTCATTAATCAGAAAACTGGACAATTTTTTCCAGATTCGGGTCTTAATAAAGAACTGGAGCTACACTCCCCTCCTTAGGATCAAACTGGATTACCTTCCATTCCTTAGACACTCTATGACCAATAAGGATTTAACGCCACCCCATAATAACGATTATAATAATAGTTAACTTAATATTTTTATAGTATACTTCACTAGTGGCACTATTAACTACAGTGATGTATGGAAAATCTATGCAAGGCATTAATATTCTACAACAGTAGAAAAGTACTGTTTTTAAAGTCAAAAGAAAATAATATCCTGCAAAAACAATATTTGTATCAATTTTTTCTTTAAAACATTCACAAACTCAATGTTACAAACTCAATGGGTCATAAGTTTAATAAAGCAGTCAGAGAAGCATGAGAAAGAATGTTGAACCAATGTTAGAATGTTAGTGTGAAGGTGAAAGACAGTACAGTAAGAACACTACATCAACAATAACTCACAGTAAACTACTTATAACAATTTATAACTAACACAAATTGTAAATCAAAACGGGACTATATTTGGGGCCATTCTGTGCCACTATAGAGTCGTAAGTTGATGCTGATCATGGGAAGGACCAAAATGTTGTCTAGTTTTTAGTTCGAATCTGTGAGTTGGTTGTGAAAATAATGTGACGATGACTGAAAAACAGCAAATTATCAGGTCAGATGCTCAGGAAAAAACAAGTATTAATAATGATAGTGGAAAATAAAATATTCGAAGCACAAGACACACCCAGCCAGCAGCAACAGCCTGGTTGATCAGGCTCTGATCCACCAGGAGGCCTGGTCACAGACCGGGCCGCGGGGGCGTTGACCCCCGGAACTCTCTCCAGGTAAACACAATCATAAAAATAGTTTTCACAGAGCAAGAAATGGTACAGTAAAGAGCGCAGAAGTGACATGACGACATATGCTAATACACAACTTAAAGCTTCCCAAGATCATCATATATTTAAGATGATCTTTGCTATTGTAAATGGTGAGCTTATCTTACTCTTAAAAGGGATGGAGATGGTCATAGATGCCCCGTAGCCCAGTGGAAGGTTCCTCCCCAGGGGAAGACTGAGGGTGGGTGTTAAAATGAGGGCTGTGGTAGGCGGTAGTGCCAGGCGACGATCAGATGTTAAGAAGATCAATCTTTTCTTGCGAGACAGTGTGCTTGTGTTGTTTCTGTGGAAGTATTTACAACCAATAGAAACAAATCTTGTGCTGGAAGGTATACAAAGGGTACATCGTAATACATATATCATAAAAATATAGGGAAGTACCACCTCTATAACTGGACTGGGGACCCTCATCCTCAGAGAAGACAATAAATGTACCTTAGGGAAAACTCAAATGGTTCTCCCCGGAGCTGTTTGAATATTTTCTTCTCCTACTAACCCCTATATTTTATATTCTATATGAACTTTAATACTTTAATAGACAGAATACACTGACAGAAAATACAAACATGAATATATCGGTACAATATATCAAAGATTATGAATCTCCTCCAGCTCCTCCGAAGCCGGATGCGAGCCCAGTATGCATATATATATATATATATATATATATATATATATATATATATATATATATATAATATATATATATATATATATATATATATATAATATATATATATATATCATGCGAATAGGCAGAACTTGCGATCTTGGCCTAAATAGCAACGCTCATCTTGCCATTTAGGACAAGTGAAAATTTGTGTATGCAATAATTTCGCCAAAATCATTCTGAACGTAACGAAAAAAATATATTTCACTGTGTTTGTTTAGTATTAAATTATTGTAAATGTATCTAAACTATATTTAGTTGGGTTAGGCTAAAATAAATTGTTCTTGTTATAATAAGGTTAGGTAAGATTTCTAAGATTCTTTTGGAGCAAAATTAAATTTTTTTACATTAACATTAATGAAAAAAATATATCTTTAAACGTATAAGAGAAAATTTTAGAAAGGGCTTAATTTTAAATGAGTTATTGCTAATTGACCAGTTTTTACATATTCGGCACGACACACACACACACACACACACACACACACACACACACACAAATATATATATATATATATATATATATATATATATATATATATATATATATATATATATATATATATATACATGTATATTACAAGCACAGTTGTTAAATCTGGCTGGTGAACTACGAATTCTATCGGCTTTTATTATAACATACAAATATTATATTGTTATAACGTTATCAAATCTGTTCACACGGTAACTGTTACTGCCCAGTTCAATGTAATATTCAAGTTTATTTTAGACAAATAAAAGATTGACTCTTAAGTTTTAGTTTGAGAAACAAAAAAAAAATTGTGGGCGTTTGTCATGTTTACCGTAATTTTAACTAGGACACAAGTTGTACATAAAGGTGAAGTAGCAGCATTATAACTTACTGAGCCCTGACTGTTATGGTGGTAAGGTTGATGAGGAAGACCAGCAGGGCCATCATGACTGCACACTCAACCACTCGCGCCATGCTTCTCTGAAACATACCCAACACCACAATTATTGACTCAACTTTTACTCTCACATCCATGTGCTCATATTGGGGAAAAAAAAACACTTTCAGGAAGGAGGGAGGGGTTGTAGAGAGCTCCTAACGCAAGGAAACTTAACCTGGTAATGTACAAGACATGAGACAGCTGGAAGTGGGGAGTCTTTATAACGGGAGTCAGGAAACACTAGTCCTTTCTCCTGACGAAAGAAAACTTACTGACCAGCAGTCAGACTGGAAGACTAAGCGAGTGTTCCTGTGTGATGGAGCTCTGGTGACTACAATTATCCACAGTTGGAATGGAAGTATTAGCTGTGTGTGGAACCAAGGACTGTTTTATATTGTTGGTAAATATTCATTTGGTTCAGTTTACTGTATTTCCTTATATTGTTTAAATAACTCGGTGTATTATATTTTCCAGCTACCTTAGTGATATATATATATATATATATATATATATATATATATATATATATATATATATATATATATATATATATATATATATATATATATATATATATATATCAGTATTAAACTGCATAATTTAATATTTTAATTTAGTTATTTAAATAAATTGTGTCATCGATACCATGCCTAACCCTTCTAAGGTAGGGTAGGTGCCTGAGCCCGAGCCTTTAGCTCATAAGACTGTCATTCCCATTAGCTCCCTTGGGGCGGGGATGGCAGACCAGAGAGGCCTAGCTTGTGGCTAGGCCTGGGGACAGTTGGTCCCAAAGATGAGGAGGTACTTGTGCCTCCTCCCATGGGAGACTTAGGTCTCAGACACTCCCTAAAGAGGGAGCCAAGGCCGGGCCACCACTTGGAAAAGGCCCGGGCCGGGAGACTACCGGCTAATCTTTAATAATAATAATAATAATAATAATAATAATAATAATAATAAATTGTGTAATCTTGAATATAAAGTATTGACTTCTACATTAAGAGGATAAGACACAAGTTCGGCAAAAGACTCAAGTCAGTAAGTTCAGAAAACTCCCCAACAGTGTGTTGTGAGGTAATATAGCGTACTGTTGTCTTACCTCATTTTTTTCTAGATATTTCTATATCATTACTTTCCCATAATAAAGGTAAGGTCTCGTCATTTTAACTCGCGAGACACGACACCCTTTCCTTCCTCAGGTCAAACCCGATTGTCTCCCATACCTCTGGTAACTGTGTGTAGTGCTTGTTCCCCCACTTCTTGTTTTTTGCCTGGGATGTTGAGCGTACAGTAGTGGTGGTGAGGGCAGCAAACAGCAGTGGTGAAGCTCACCCATCATTTGTCTTAGTTACTATATGTCAAAGGCACTTATCAATATACACATGTACTGTGTGTGTGTGTGTGTGTGTGTGTGTGTGTGTGTGTGTGTGTGTGTGTGTGTGTGTGTGTGTGTGTGTGTGTGTAAGGGCTGGGGGGGAGGAATAAACTGTTATTACTTTAACAAGCTTGTGCCTCGTTTTTTATACAATTTTACATTGAGAAAGTATCTTTAGATTTTATTAATATCTAAAATGTCCACGTGGGTTTTGAGCTTTCACTGATGCTCCCGTGTTATGTTACCTCCCATGTTAGTCTGTCCTTCACATGAGAGCGTATATACATAGATCAGAAATATTATGGGTCTTATAACAGAACGATTGGTCACTCCATTGTCTTTTTATATTCGTCCATTCTGCCGGTTCTTCCTGACGTTGAATCTACTCTCTGGTTTTATTCCAGTGAAGAGCAGCAGGCTAGGCTAGCACGCCTAACAGCAGGCTAGGCTAGCACGCCTAACAGCAGGCTAGGCTAGCACGCCTAACAGCAGGCTAGGCTAGCAGCGCCTAACAGCAGGCTAGGCTAGCACGCCTAACAGCAGGCTAGGCTAGCACGCCTAACAGCAGGCTAGGCTAGCACGCCTAACAGCAGGCTAGGCTAGCACGCCTAACAGCAGGCTAGGCTAGCACGCCTAACAGCAGGCTAGGCTAGCAGCGCCTAACAGCAGGCTAGGCTAGCACGCCTAACAGCAGGCTAGGCTAGCAGCGCCTAACAGCAGGCTAGGCTAGCACGCCTAACAGCAGGCTAGGCTAGCACGCCTAACAGCAGGCTAGGCTAGCACGCCTAACAGCAGGCTAGGCTAGCACGCCTAACAGCAGGCTAGGCTAGCACGCCTAACAGCAGGCTAGGCTAGCAGCGCCTAACAGCAGGCTAGGCTAGCACGCCTAACAGCAGGCTAGGCTAGCACGCCTAACAGCAGGCTAGGCTAGCACGCCTAACAGCAGGCTAGGCTAGCACGCCTAACAGCAGGCTAGGCTAGCAGCGCCTAACAGCAGGCTAGGCTAGCACGCCTAACAGCAGGCTAGGCTAGCACGCCTAACAGCAGGCTAGGCTAGCAGCGCCTAACAGCAGGCTAGGCTAGCACGCCTAACAGCAGGCTAGGCTAGCACGCCTAACAGCAGGCTAGGCTAGCACGCCTAACAGCAGCTAGGCTAGCACGCCTAACAGCAGGCTAGGCTAGCAGCGCCCAACAGCAGGCTAGGCTAGCACGCCTAACAGCAGGCTAGGCTAGCAGCGCCTACGAGCAGACTAGGCTAGCAGCGCCTACGAGCAGGCTAGGCTAGCAGCGCCTAACAGCAGGCTAGGCTAGCAGCGCCTAACAGCAGGCTAGGCTAGCAGCGTCTACGAGCAGGCTAGCCTAGCAGCGCCTACGAGCAGGCTAGGCTAGCAGCGCCTAACAGCAGGCTAGGCTAGCAGCGCCTAACAGCAGGCTATGCTAGCAGCGCCTACGAGCAGGCTAGGCTAGCAGCGCCTACGAGCAGGCTATGCTAGCAGCGCCTACGAGCAGGCTAGGCTAGCAGCGCCTAACAGCAGGCTAGGCTAGCAGCGCCCAACAGCAAGCTAGGCTAGCAGCGCCTACGAGCAGGCTAGGCTAGCAGCGCCTACGAGCAGGCTAGGCTAGCAGCGCCTACGAGCAGGCTATGCTAGCAGCGCCTACGAGCAGGCTAGGCTAGCAGCGCCCAACAGCAGGCTAGGCTAGCAGCGCCCAACAGCAGGCTAGGCTAGCAGCGCCCAACAGCAGGCTAGGCTAGCAGCTCCTACGAGCAGGCTAGGCTAGCAGCGCCCACGAGCAGGCTAGGCTAGCAGCGCCTACGAGCAGGCTAGGCTAGCAGCGCCTACGAGCAGGCTAGGCTAGCAGCTCCCAACAGCACGCTAGGCTACCAGCGCCCAACAGCAGGCTAGGCTAGCAGGGCCCCCGTCATAACTCTGCCACTCATTAAATCAAATTATGGCGATTACTCATCTCAGGTGACTTTTCCTGGCGAATTCAGTAACACTAATGAAATTGTTAGTCAAGCTTGTAGGTAAAACTTCTGCACCAGCCTAGTGCAGTGACCAGTCTCGTGTGGTGCACGACCCCTCAGGTATTCCCGTCATAAAATTATCATAGAATTCCTGAGACTCGTAAGGGAATATTTTTCAAGTGCACATCCTTTTTTATGCCTTGTATAACCCATACAGGATTACCAATAGTTTTCGATAATAATAATAATAATAATAATAATAATAATAATAATAATAATAATAATAATCTTAAGCACTCCATGAGCTTTCACACTGACTACGTTAGGATACGTGTGTGAGTGAACTTTTTATGAGGCATCTTTTTAAAGTTTGCCTCCAGTGAGGCTGTCTTGCAGTTGCCCTGTAATTCCCACCTATATTAATTTACTTTATAAATGGTTGGCTAAGCTCTTGGGTCACATGTTGGACACATTATATGATGAGTAGTGGCAGAGTTGCTTACGTGCAGCTGTACAGTGAGAAGGCAGAAAGTGGGAAATGGACAAGAATGCTAAACGTTTCGCTCCTGGGTCTTTGATCACTCCAACACTCACCTGCGGGAGCCTCAACTCTCGAAGGCTCGCCTGTGTGAACAAAGGCCATGGTCAACTCTATATTTTAGGAATGACTTCATGAGAAAGGTCAAGCGAGGCCACCCCCAGAGATAAGAATCTTACCCCCCCCCCGTCCCCTCTCTCTCTCAAACACAGCTTCAAGAACTTCCTATGAAAGATATCAAAGGTTAGTGAGATACATGAATGAAGATGTCAAGAGAAACTGTCTGGCACGGATCAGTAGGCTCACTGCAGTGTTCCTTTTACTATCGTGTTCTTATATATACTTTTTTATGAACTAAGCCGTCAGCAAACACGAAACTAGCTATTCATAGCGCAGGGACCAGGATATATTTACGTTAATCTTGTTTTGGTTCCGGAGTCACTAGCACATACTGAGTGAACACGGCAGTTCACCTTCCTCACTTGTCTAGATGTGTGTGAACCAGTCATGTGATCACCACACCCAGGCGAGGCTACACTTGTACCAAACAAACTAGCTTAACTTTAACAGTAAAGTTAACAGGGATTTTCACAGGGAAATGCGGGACCGGAGCCACATTGCTACCCTTGTAACGTCCACTCATTGTACCACTTCTTCCCTGTAATGAAGACTGCTGTAGGCCTTGATTGACCCTTCAAGATTTAGCTCTTACTCTGAATATACTACTACTACTAATAATAATATAGAAACTGTTTATAGCTGGAAATACTTGGAGAGGGTTTCGGTGATCAACGCCCCCGCGGTCCGGTCTATGACCAGGACACGCGGTGGCCTGGTCACAGATCGGCCGTGGGGGTGTAAGAAACGTGGTGAAAATGAGAAGTATAAAATGAGTTAGAGAAGTAACATTATTATCTGTGACTCACAACAAGGCTGTGATGGTAATCTGCCGACCTTGTAAACATTCACTGGCTAAGGGAAAGTCTTCCACCTTCACCTATATTGTATCTGTCCCTTGTTGTTCTTCCTGTCTCCTGCTGTGAATTGTCTTTTCTCTTCCTGACTACAACATAATACTTCACCACACCATGAAAAGATGATTTATAATGGTTCCTTGCAAATATATGTATATAAAGGTTTGCTGTATATATATATATATATATAT